AGATGCTTCCATAATTCTTAGTGTACTCTTGGGTATATTAAATTATCATATCCTGACAGCCATCCTGAAACATGCCAGTCTTATAAAGCCTTATTTCTGAGAACTAAAGCAAGGCATCAGCGAACCATATCTGACATGCCATGTTAATTTCCATAACTATCATTTCTGGGAGGTGGTAGGATTTCTAAGGCATGGAGAATCTCAGTAAATCTACTTAAAAAAAAAAAAAAAGCAAAATTTTTATTCTTGGGTTTCCAATCACGAGACCTGACTGCTTCAGTCCCACTTAAATAATTTCAAAAATAGTCATAAGCATATTTTTCTCTTATAGATTGTTAAATATTTACTCACGTGCACAATATATCAGAACATTTTGAATTCTGTATTCTTAGTGTTGGGTGTTCATGTTGTGAATGAAAACCTCATTCTGTTACTTCATAGCATATTTATATATACAAATAATTTTTGCCTTAAGTAGGAAAGAAACAGCTGAAAGATACATAGGCTATTTTGCTTTTTAAAATTTTAGCAAACTATTCTTTGAATCTTCTGTGTGTTTGGGACTGTTTGTAGAGGAAAATTTCATCAAGCAACATTTTGGAAACATTGGTGTTTTGTACTCTTTCCCAAATAAGCTTAAACTTGTACTCCCCAAAATAAAATGTTTCTTTGTATATTGTTACCTGCAAGTTATTGATAATGGAAGGAACACTTTTTCAATCCTTAGTCCCCTTTCCCCCAACACAGCTTTTAGATTGTAGATAAACTTCCCAGCTCAGTAATTAACTGAGCTCAGTCATTGCACCCTGTATCATGTGATTTTTTTTCCAGTGGAATACATTATTAGAGCACTTACACAGCCAGTCTAGCTGCAGCAGCCCAGGCGGCAACAGCAGTGCCATTTTTCACAAAGAAAATGTTGAACAGGAGCCAAATGTTTGGTGGCAGTCTGTTGCTAGGAAATCAAGGTCCTGAGGCGATTAATGACAAAGCAAGCAATAACAAGAAGGCAGAATTACAGATTTAAAAGAGAAAAAAGTGGTTGGTGTTATAATTACCCAAAGAAATCCGCACTCATTAAATTGGCTGTTTTTATGATTGACTTTAATTGGAGGTTAGCTCAGATATTTAGCTCCTTTCCCACCCCTTTAAACACACACAGGCACATAATCTGTAGAACTGCAGACTTGTTTTTCTAAGCATTGAGAGGAGCTTGCCCTGTAATTTGATCCCCACTGACAGATGCATTTTCTATGCTGCCATTTTGAATTAACCTATTGTAGAACAATTTTCTTCAGCCCTGTTGAATAAAACATCCAGTCTGATTACCTCCGATGGATTTGATAGAGTAAAAGAATGTACTTCTCATTGAAGTAGATTGTTTGCATGGACTCTACTGATTTTGAACTCTGCCAGTAAGCACAATTGTTTGTAATAAATTTTCAAAGAAATTTGTGAGGAAAAGGTAATGAGAGTCACCCTTTTATAGTTTAATGTTTGGACACCTCCATCAAAATAATATAATTCTTATAAGACAGTGTTATTTTTCCAGTAAGCTTTTCACGTGGTTTTAGAAAAACATTCTGAATCTTCATTTAGACTGTTCATATATTTAGGAATAGAGTCTTGTATTTACACACTCTAAAATGACCATTCTTCCTCCCCAACAACAGTATTTTAGTGCAAGACTCAATATGCAAAGCACTCTGTTGCAAAAATATTTTTGGTATGTACAATATTTAAAGTGATTTTAAGATTGGCCTATTTCAATCTTTGAAGTATTTTTCCCCCAAAAAAAATCCCTTATTTAAATTTTTTAGGGTGTGATAAAGCATGTTACTAGAAAAGCATCAATTGGTCTTTCAGGTACAATACCAGAGGAACCATCACAGTGTATTTACCTTTCTCAAAAGCTTTAAAAAGGAAGTTACATGATGCCTCTGCTCTCCAGATTTCTAATCAAACCCTGGAACAAAAGAGCCAAGCACATTCTATCTGACAATGCACACACTGCTAATCAGATGCCAATGCCAAGCTGTCTGCTTTGTTAAATACTTAGCTTCCTAGAGGCAGGAAGACAGCTGCTATAAGTATGATGAAATTTTGTAGTTCAATCTATTTTTGCTACCCTTGGGCTACCAAGATACTGTTAATTTAGACCACCCCAATTGGTACACTTTAGGGAGTTTTTTAAAGAGTTTGTAATTAAAATGATAAAACATCGTTATTACATTGAAGACCTTCTGTAAGTTTTACATTTGGCAGATACCTACTGAGATAACCCCAGCATGTAATTTACAATGATGTAATGGTTGTAATTGCATTTTAGAAAAAGAGAGAACTATAGGAGCCAAGTGCTTCCATTAGAAGAGTTTTTAAATCTGCTTCTGTTTCATTTAAATCTACTTCTATCCCCAAATTACTTACCTATAATTGACTATAGCAGCTATAAACCTTAAGATGCTATCTGAATATTTTTTAAAAGTTATCACCCTAGACACTGCCACCAGGGGAAGGAAGCTAAAATCTTAAAGTTCTTAACTGATGATGATACTGCCAGTAGGTAGATTATATTGCTTAGCCCTACATAGTTAACTACTTACCCCCAGATAATACTGCCTTTTGGGACATGATTCTCAAAACCTGTAGTATGTGAAACCTGTAGACTTAGCACACTATTAATTGTAAATAAAATGGAAACTTTTGTACTCTGGTGATTGGGGTCGGGAAGGGGAAAGAGGCAGTACAAATAAGCTACCTGGACATTTTTATTGTTTTTTTCTTATCTGTTAGTCTACATGAAGAGCTATCCTTGAAAGTGAGTGCTTTAGATCTATGAAACTGGGCAGCTGTCATACCACATCTATTAAGACCTAATAATCACATAATTAATATAGCAAATGAATAGACTGTAAGGTAGGTTTTTTTTTTTTGTTACTATACTGTGGTTTTGTTTTTAATAAATAGTTTTGGCTTTATTTTAAACAATTAAAAATTCAAAACATTTTTATGATCAAAGCTTATAAGTTCTATCCTTGGAAAAAATATTTTATAAATACAGAAAATAGTTGCTTAGGATTGGAATCCAACTCTGTTGACCATGAACAACTTCAAAGTTGATCTCATAATCTTGCATGTTGTGGAATAATACCACGAAAAAGTTAATTAAAGAATTTAGATGTTTGTTCTCCTGTCTAGAACTCAATAACTTTTAAGTAGTAACTCTCCCTACAGTTTAACTGTTAAGCAGTTTAACTCTTCTGACAGTTTTAGGTTTTATTCTGTGAAGACTCATGATTTTTAATTTTTGCATCCTAATTTTTCAGTTGTTTCAGGTATTGAAATTACAAATGATGGAAAAGAAAAGTGGTTGACTACAAAGGGGATACAAAAGGCAAGTTTTAGGGTGATGTACTGTTCCGTATGGTACTATGGTGGTGGATATGTGATTCTATGCATTTGTTAAAGCCCAAAGAACTGTAAATCACAAAGGGTTAATTTTAATGTATGCAGGTCTTTTAAATGTTAGGGATTTCAGGATGGAATGCAAGCTGTAACAAATGAATCTACTTGTATCACAAATGTATGGCATAACTTCACTGAGTAGGTGGGGGGAAAAGGAGCTGACCTCAGTAACTTTGGAAAATGGTATTTTGACTGGACAATGTAAAGCTAATGACTAAGGAACACTATAGAAACACTATATTCTAGTTGGTAAATTTGTTTCTCATAACGATATGGGTTAACAGTTCTGAACCCCTTTACATGTATCCTGGGGTTGAACAAATAAGTAAATGGATGATGAATGGTGGAAGCTAGATTTCTCACTATCAGGAAGGGATGTTATAGATAAATAAACAAGAGGGGAGAGCCAGAATGAAACCTGTGGTACTGAATTAGAGTTGGAGATATAAGTATTTACCCATGTTTAGCTTAATATATGTAGATGGATAGATGCAGAAATAATTATAGATACATGTGTATATGTGGATTAGTATACATGCATATGTTTCCTAGCTGTGTTCACTGAGAAGGCCTAGAAGCAGTGATATCCCAGTAGCCACAAACACATCCAACACTCACATCCCGGTTTGTAAATCCTATTCTCCAATAAAAGGATCCAGGACTCCTTTTAAATATGACTGATTCTGGGGCTGGTGATGGGAAAATACAACATAAGCATGGAATATCTTGTAGTGCCAGAAGGCAAGAGATTTCTTAAAAATAATAAAGATTAAGCATGCCAAAAGGGACACATGAGCCAACGTGAAAGAACTCCCAATGGCCATAGCTGGAATAATTAGAGCAACAAAATAAAACATGTAGCATTGGATTAAGGATAAATTATTAAATAAATATACATGAGTTCACGGTGTTATGTATAAATTGCATAAATAAATAAATGGAGGAGAACAGATAAATCTCCCTGACAGAAGAATTCCAAATAACATATTGCCCCCTCCAGAAGGTGGATCCTACTTCCCTTCTCCTTGAGAGTATGAGCTGGATTGAGTGAGTCAGATCCAAAAATTGAGTTGGAAGACAGCGAAATACTGACTTGACTGTTTCCATAGGAGAAAGCTGGTAAACAGTTATGTTAACTAAGTGATTAAGGTTAACATCACAAATGGGAAGTCATGTTGGTGTGAAAAGGTGGAAACTTCATCTCTCTGATATTCTTTCCCTAAACCTGTAGCCTCAATCTAATCATTAGGAAAACATCAGACAAATCCCAGCTGATGGACATTCTACCACACAAGTTGAGCGTTCCTGAAAACTGTCAAGGTTGTGAACAACGAAGAAAGACTATAAACATCTCACTGACAAGAAGAGACTACAGAGTCATGACAACTAAATGTTACATGGTTTCCTGGATCAGGTCCAGAATAGAAATAGGATATTAGTGTAAAAACTGGTGAAATCTAAATAAAGTCTTAACTTTAGTCAATGATCCACCAACATTGGTTTCTTGGTTTGGACAAATGTGCCACAGTAATGTAAGACGCTAAGATAGTGACATTAGAACAAATTGAATGAGGGGTACACAGGAAGTCTGTATATTATACTTGTAATTTTTCTGTATATCTAAATTCCCAAATTAAAAAAAAAATTATTTGAGGTCGATCAATGGGCTGACTATATTGACAAGATACTGATAGGTTACGTGTTGAAAAAAAACATCCAATATAAGATAGAGAAAAAGTCAGTTCCATCCCTTCCTACTCCCCCTTTACCTGCCTACTTCCCAATACTCATCATTGTGATTTGGTCAGAACAGGGCTTAGTGCCAGAGGTCAGGATGACTGAGGGTGGAGGAGTTGTGGGCAGTGGGTTCATGGCTGTCACAATAATGCTGTGGCAATTCTGTGGTTTCCCAGCTGGGAGTTAGGAGTTGGGGAGGGCTGCAGCCTGATGACAGCCAGCTGAAGGAAGAGCTGCTTCTCTCTTCCCTAGCTACTCCATCACCTGAACCCAGGCCCACGCCAAATAAGGTATGGATGAGGATGCTTTTGTTGAGTCTATTCTGCAAGAGGCAAAGAAAGGGTAGTTGCTCCAACCCCACCTTCCTCATATACAAGGGTGAGGGGAACAGGAGCATGTGGCTGCTACTAGCAAAGGAAAAGTAGGAGAGCAATAGAAAGGGGAGGAGGTGGGAAGAGCAGAAAATCAATATTATTTAAAAAGTGATCTAAGACTTAAAATTGAATTAGTATTTGTACAGAAAGGTGCAGGTAGAATAACTCACTGTGGCCCATGATCAAAATTATGTGGAGAAATCATGGTGGGCCCCTTCCCCTGTCCCCAGTGGTGGCCCCAGTTGCTGAGTGCGATTGGTTAGAATGGATTCCAGTCTAGTCGTTCAGGCAGAGAAAGTAGTTGCAGTGGGCAGGCAAGAGAGGCTCAGTTGCTGCAGCAGTGGCTCTTGCTTGCTGGGTGGTTCTCCTGGAGGTTTCAGCCTGGAGCACCAGATGCATTCTGGGGCTTAATTTTAGGAATCTTCTTAGCTATCACCATGAAAATTTCATTTACATTCATTGCAGTCTTTGCTGATGTCTCCACAGTCAACTGTTGTCGTCTGCATAGTCCTGTGCTTCCTGGAATTCCAGGGCTTTCTTGCTGGCCAGGTCTGCCTTGTTACCCACAAGTACAGTGACGATGCTGGTGCTGGCGTGCCTTTCTAGCTCCTTCACCTGTTTCTTGGCTGGTGCAAATGTATCTTTTTTGGTGATTTCATAGTACAGGGGGGCCGGGCTACCATACTGTTCCTGTCCAGCGCTGCCCCAGGTCTCAAACTTCACTATTGTGTTGTCTAAGCAGACAGTCTGTGTAAGGAACGCTGCTCTGATTATGCTGTCCTGGTACTCTTGAAATTGTCCCTTGACAAAGTGGAGAACAAGGCTGGATTTGGCCACCACAGACTCATTGTTCCCAGTGGCTGGTCCACTAGGTTTTGTGCTGTGCCTCGCCCGACCCGCCACTACCCGTCCAGTTGTCATGGTACCAGAGAGCATGGGGACGGGAGCCATTGCTATGCAAAGAGGCACTTAGTTGGGGAGGGTGTCTCCAAGACGACTCAAGGGCAGTAGCATTACTTGGGGCTAGGGCTCAAACAGGCTCCACTTCTCTCCCCCGACCCCCAGCGATATCTCCAAATAAAAATTTTACTTAAACACAAAGACCATGTATGTACTTAAACACCTATCTAAAGAAATAAAATATGGCTGGGCATGGTAGCTCATGCCTATAATCCCAGCACTTTGGGAGGCCGAGGCAGGTGGATCACCTGAGGTCGGGAGTTCATGACCAGCCTGACCAACATGGAGAAATCCTGCCTCTACTAAAAATATAAAGTTAGCCGGGCATGGCAGCACATGCCTGTACTCCCAGCTACTTGGGAGGCTAAGGCAAGAGAATTGCTTGAACCCAGGAGGCGGAGGTTGCGGTGAGCCGAGATCCCTGCCACTGCACTCCAACCTGGGCAACAAGAGCAAAACTCTGTCTCAAAAAAAATTTAAAAATTAAAAAAATAATTCCCCTGCCTCTCTCCACCCCAGAGGGTAACTATTATCCTACATTTTATGGTTATGATTCCCATGCTTTTCTTTATAGCTTAACCATATGTGTATCACTAACTGTTCTATCATATCTCATAACCTCTTACATAGTTTCCCTTTTTTGTCATGTTTGCTATGTTCTGGATAATTTCTTCAGATCTATCTTCTGATATTGCTAATTGTGTCTTCAGCAGTGTCTCATATTCTGTTTTACCTGACATTGAATTTTATATAATAATCATTACTTCCATTTTCATTTCTTCCCCTGAAATCAGTTTACTTTATCATTTTGATAAACTCACTTCATTCTCATGTATACAATCCTCTTATTTATTTAAATAAATTAAACTTATTTTCTATTTTGTGCCTAGCCTAATATTTAAAGCTTATGCAGTTCTGATTTTTCTGTCTCTGTTTCCTCTGGCTGTTACTCAAACTGCCTTATTTTCCTGTGTGTTAGCTTGTATTCGTTATTTGTGGTGATCTCTGAGACTGAGATTAAGATATGTTTCCAAAGAGAGTATTTACATTTGAATCTGCCAAAAGCCGGGGATACTGTCAACCTGGGAACACATTCAAATAACTGTTGGGCTTAAAGTTTTGTGGGCTGCATAGGTAACATGAGTTCCAGATCCATAAACCTTCATGAGGGTGGGCTTGTGGTTAAATTTTCAAAAAAGATGTATTTACCTCCACCTAGCATCAAGTTTGAAAGAGGTTAATTTCCTTGCTTATTCTTTCTATAGGGTAGACATCATTCTATTCAGCTCTTACACTAAACATGTGTGTAGCTCTTTAGGATCCCAACTTTATGTGGAGAGTCTAATTAGACTTCCTATCTTTAATATACCCTAGAATTTATCCCCTAAACCTTGGGTTCAGTAGTGTCCTGGTAAATATTTTAAAACTGGCTCTCCAGGGCAAAAAAAAAAAAAATCCTAATTTCTCACATTTTTCTATTTCACACTATGACTGATTTCACGATACCAACCTGAAGTCATTGAACGTGGAGTTGGGAAAAGATATGTACAGTTAGCTTTCTCGAGCCGGCTCCAGTGTATCACTGCCAGTTCTGTACATGGCTGTGAAAACTGAAGCTCAATGCACAGGGCTTGGCATATCCCTCAGAATGAAAGACATCTAAGTGTTTGCCTATCCCCCTGGATTTCCATTTTTACTTTGTTTTAACCTTTTGAGTATTCTGTGTCAACTCAGCAATATACTTCAAAAAAAGATTCTTTTGTTTTCTTTTTATTTTAACCCAGCATTTGTTGTTATTTTTAGCAAAAGGCCTGTGTTAGGGTACCTGTTTAGTCAGAAATAGAAGTCTCTGTTCTTGTTTGTAAATATAATGTATTATTTTTATTTTTGGGGAAATATAGAAAGAAATAGATGTCTCTGTTCTTGTTTGTAAATTTAATGTATTTTTCTTTTTTGAGAAATAGAGAAAGGTACAGAGAATGTTAAAATTATCCATAATCCTGGCCGGGCGCGGTGGCTCAAGCCTGTAATCCCAGCACTTTGGGAGGCCGAGACGGGCGGATCACGAGGTCAGGAGATCAAGACCATCCTGGCTAACACAATGAAACCCCGTCTCTACTAAAAATACAAAAAAAAAATTAGCCGGGCGAGGTGGCGGCGCCTGTAGTCCCAGCTACTCGGGAGGCTGAGGCAGGAGAATGGCGTGAACCCGGGAGGCGGAGCTTGCAGTGAGCTGAGATCCGGCCAATGCACTCCAGCCTGGGTGACAGAGCAAGACTCCGTCTCAAAAAAAAATAAAATAAAATAAAATAAAATAAAATAAAATAATCCATAATCCTATCATATATGTTCATTTTATGTGCATGTATGTCTCCATACTTTTTTATATAATTTGCATTATATCTATTTCATAATATGATTTTTGTTAATACATAATGAATGTTTGCTCATGCCGTTAACTATTCCTTTAAAACAGCCCCCATTATGTATGAGAGTAAACATAAAATGCTGCACACATAGGGATTAGTATAATTCAGAAATTCAGTCTGTATTGCATTTGGAAATAATTTTGTCAAAGTTATTCATGCCGCATTATTAATAATTGCAAAATATCAGAAACCATATAAATGACCCATTCTAGAAGATTGGTTGAATATAATCTGGAACATACAATAGACTACTATGTTGATAAAAGATATCTGTTTTTATAACTATATGGAGTAATTTCCAGGAAATATCACATGAAACAAAAAGCAGAAACAAATACTCATAGTGCTACTTGTCATACAAGAAAAAGGGAGAATTAAAGAATGTGTATGTTCAGGAAGGATAAAGCAGAAAACAATAAAATTAGTTACAAGAGGTAGAAGGGAAAGTGAAGTGGAAGGGATGTGGGAGGGAGTGAGACTTGGATATTGGGGTATACTTTCTTGGCATAGTTTCAACTTTTGAAAGCATGTTAATGTCCAACATATTCAAACAGTTAAATAAAAATGATATCACTGGGACAGGGACCTAAAATTATTAACAAACAAACAAACAAATGAACTTAATTCATTTTTGTTTGTTTGTTTGTTTGTTTTTGAGACGGAGTCTCGCTGTGTCACCCAGGCTGGAGTGCAGTGGCCGGATCTCAGCTCACTGCAAGCTCCGCCTCCCGGGTTCACGCCATTCTCCTGCCTCAGCCTCCCGAGTACCTGGGACTACATTAGCTGGGACTACATTAGCTGGGACTACAGGCGCCCGCCACCTCGCCCAGCTGGTTTTTTGTATTTTTTAATAGAGACGGGGTTTCACCGTGTTAGTCAGGATGGTCTTGATCTCCTGACCTCATGATCCGCCCGTCTCGGCCTCCCAGAGTGCTGGGATTACAGGCTTGAGCCACCGCGCCCGGCCCTTAATTCGTTTTTGTTTTTTTTTTTCATTTTTTCTATTTATTTATTTTATTTTATTTTTTATTATACTTTAAGTTCTGGGATGCATGGGCAGAACGCACAGGTTTGTTACATAGGTATACATGTGCCATGGTGGTTTGCTGCACCCATCAACCCATCATCTGCATTAGGTATTTCACCTAATGCTATCCCTCCCCTAGCCCCCCAACCCTCAACAGGCCCCTGTGTATTATGTTCCCTTCCCTGTATCCTTGTGTTCTCATTGATAAACTTAATTTTATTTTATTTATTTATTTTTTTATTATACTTTAAGTTCTAGGGTACATGTGCATAACGTGCAGGTTTGTTACATATGTATACTTGTGCCATGTTGGTGTGCTGCGCCCAACAGCTCATCAGCACCCATCAACTCGTCATTTACATCAGGTATAACTCCCAATGCCATCCCCCCGCCCCTCCCCGTAATAGGCCCCGGTGTGTGATGTTCCCCTTCCAGAGTCCAAGTGATGTCATTGTTCAATTCCCACCTATGAGTGAGAACATGTGGTGTTTGGTTTTCTGTTCTTGTGATAGTTTGCTGAGAATGATGGTTTCCAGCTGCATCCATGTCCCTACAAAGGACACAAACTCATCCTTTTTTATGGCTGCATAGTATCCCATGGTGTATATGTGCCACATTTTCTTAATCTAGTCTGTCACTGATGGACATTTGGGTTGATTCTAAGTCTTTGCTATTGTGAATAGTGCTGCAATAAACATACGTGTGCATGTGTCTTTATAGCAGTATGATTTATAATCCTTTGGGTATATACCCAGTAATGGGATGGCTGGATCATATGGTATTTCTAGTTCTAGATCCTTGAGGAATTGCCATACTGTTTTCCACAATGGTTGAACCAGTTTACAACCCCACCAACAGTGTACAAGTTTTCCTATTTCTCCACATCCTCTCCAGCACCTGTTGTTTCCTGACTTTAATGATTGCCATTCTAACTGGTGTGAGATGGTATCTCATTGTGGTTTTGATTTGCATTTCTCTGATGGCCAATGATGACGAGCATTTTTTCATGTGTCTGTTGGCTGTATGCATGTCTTCTTTTGAGAAATGTCTGTTCATATCCTTTGCCCACTTTTTGATGGGGTTGTTTGTTTTTTCTCGAAAATTTGTTTGAGTTCTTTGTAGGTTCTGGATATTAGCCCTTTGTCAGATGTGTAGATTGCAAAAATGTTCTCCCATTCTGTAGGTTACCTGTTCACTCTGATGGTGGTTTCTTTTGCTGTGCAGAAGCTCTGTAGTTTAATTAGATCCCATTTGTCAATTTTGGCTTTTGTTGCCGTTGCTTTTGGTGTTTTAGACATGAAGTCCTTGCCCATGCCCATGTCCTGAATGGTATTACCTAGGTTTTCTTCTAGGGTTTTTATGGTTTTAGGTCTAACATTTAAGTCTCTAATTCATCTTGAATTAATTTTTGTATAAGGAGTAAGGAAAGGATCCAGTTTCAGCTTTCTACTTATGACTAGCCAATTTTCCCAGCACCATTTATTAAATAGGGAATCCTTTCCCCATTTCTTTTTTTTTGTTAGGTTTGTCAAAGATCAGATGACTGTAGATGTGTGATATTATTTCTGAGGGCTCTGTT